TGGGCAATGAAAGCTTGGCAAATAAACCATCATCCAGCTCAGAGAACACAACCACATCAAAATCATCCAACTGAGCTACAAATCTTGTACCATCACATCTAAATCTTACGAGAAGTAGAATGCTCGCCGCCAATCACGCCTCTTGTGGTTTGGGGTTCGATTCCCGGCCAAGGACATACTGTTCTACCTAAATTAACTGGTAGTTAGCCCAGTAAAGAGGGAAAGTTGGGCATGAGGCTGGCTAGCAACCTCACCCAATAAAAATAAACGCCTGTTAGCGAAACTTTAAGCCAAAAGCTTGAAGCCACCCTATGTTCCACTGTGAACATACAAGAATACGTAATAATAATCATTAACAGTTGTCTTCGCTCAATACTCAAAATCAGATGGCCAGAAAAGATCAGCAGCAGGGAGGGATCTATGCTATCGAACCAACCAGGAACCGATTGTGAAATAAATAAGCAGGAAGAAATGGAGATGGATCGGCTGGCCATACTCTGAGGAAACCATCAAGTGACGTCACTAGACAAGCCATTGCTCGAGTGGAACCCGAAAGGGAAGCGGCGAGTTGGTCGTCAGTGCGAGGGTGACTTGGAGGAGGTGATGTGAAGAGGAGATGAAAGAGTGTGGGCAGACTTGGAGCTAGGTGAAAACTCCAGCAGAGAACTGAACGCAATGGAGACGCACGGCTCAATCCCTATGTTCCTCTGGGAATTAAAGGAAACAATAATAATAAATAACGGGAGAATTTGGACAAAACTACAATGTAAAATAACTGTTACATTTTTGACTACAAAAAGAACATTTGAGACGAATGTTAAGATTTTAATCTGCCGGTTGCGCTGAATATCACAGAATAGCAGAACTTAGGATTTATGGGCCGGTCGATAAATTCCGTCCCAATGACTGAATGATGAGTGAGCCCATAGGCGGCATATTAAAATAATAAGCAGCTACATTAAATATGAAATTATTTGGTTGTATAAACTACTACACATCCTCAAATACTAAGAAGACGTAATTCCTCTGAGATGTGTCATGTATTTACGCAACATATTACTAACATTCTGATCACACACGCGTACTTGTCATATATTTATATGAAGTTCCCAGGGGAAAATTGGGCTAGAGCTATGAAGTTTTGACCGCAGTGGTGTTTATTTTTACGCGATGGGGTTGCTCACCTCATACCTAACCTTTCTTCTTTACTGGTCTTATTACTGACTTAGCGAGGTAAAGAAGTGCATCGGTAGCCGGTGATCGAACTCCGGACCACATGAAGCGTTATTGGCGGCGAGCATTCTACCGCCAGGCCACCGACGCTACTTGTCATACACAGTAATAAAAAGGGAAAATTAAATAGGAAGCCCAGCTGGATGGAACAATATCTAAATGTGGTCATAGTTTCTGCCCACTCCAGTTGAGACATAATCATCAAATATACAAAGAGGATATCACTGACGTAGAAATACAAAACCTTGCTAAAATATTATTAGATAACAATTATCTCCGGGAATTCATTAAACGCTACAGAAGTGTCCAACAAAGGGCTTTAGTAATCCAATCAACTCCCAAAAATGATGTTTTTATATCTTTAATATTGAAATGTCTTCACCAAAGTCTGATTACTTTACCAAAGAGTCAGATTGGCACTCGACAGAACAGCTTTCTATCAGGAATTAGCAAATGGTCTTCATCTAACGGCCTTAAACTAAATCCTTCCAAATGTCAGACTGTTAATTTCAGTTTCCGATGTAAACGAAAGTTAAATGAAGCTGTTAATTCCTATGACTGTTGTAAAATTGATGATACTGATATAGAAAGCAAGTCTGAAGTTAAGTATCTTGGATTAATTCTCTCTTCTGACCTATCCTGGTCCTCCCATGTCTTAGTGATTTCTAAAAGAATATTTCGTCTGACTTTTTACATCAAGAAGTTAAGCCATTCAGGCATAACTCAACCCTTCCCACTGTTACAGTTTGTCAAATCGTGCACCTTACCTATTATTCTCTACTGTTCACCCTTATTCTTTCCTGGATTGCTTAAAAAGACTACTTCATACTTCGTAGAACTCTGAAGACTGTCAGTCAATAGGGCGAGTGGTATCCCATTGGGCCATATCACTGACACTGTCACTGATAGGCATTTGATGTCATGCAACAAATTTGCTGAAGGAATTTCGTCAGACTGTAAGCATCCACTGCAGCACCCGTAGTTCCAACCTTGTGTCTCCTCAGGTAGAACAAGAAGTCATTTCGAAAAACTTTATGCACGTACGTCTAAGTATAAAAATTCCACCATATCATATTTAGCACGTACTTTGTGTGATGAAAGTAGTATCAGGCATGAACTAACTAACCTTCTTTGCACTACTAAATAAACCATTTCCTCCACCCTTACAAAATCAAGCTTTATTGTTATTATATTTCTTATATCTATAATCCTCTCAACTTTTTGTTTTTGTTTATTTTTTCATAAGTGTGAACATAATTTAAGCTGTGTTATAACTGTTAATTTTGTATTTCCCCTCACCATGCTGCTATATCAACAGAACATTAGACTCAATAATCTATAACATGCTAAAATTTCCACACTGAATCGAAAATACTGTTTGAAGCAAACTCACTATTATTATTTTTTTATTACTATGCTACTCAACTTATTTTCAGAGCAGAGATGAGATTTATGTTGTTCAGGGATCCTTCATAGTACCAATTTACATGTATATGTGTGTGTGTGGTCATAAATACATAGGGAGGATACATCGAAGTCTTCAGGTCAGGATTACAGAAAATATCCTACTTAAATGGTTACAAGAACAGGTAAAATCTCCAGATTCAATTAATTCTGAAAATAGATGTCCAACCTCCTAACAATGATTTCACTAGTACCTTTAAAATCATATATCAAATAGGTTTCAGTCACTTTACTTTAATTTCTTGAAGCCCTAGCCATAAAAATAGGCTTAAACTTGTTCAGATCACAGAACCAAGGTTCATTTCAATCCCCCCTTCTTTTTGCTTACCTCATATTCAAGTGTTAGTTTGCAGGGATATGATTAGTTACAGGATTTATCCTGAGGTGATATCAGCTATACAACCTTCATAAATTTATTCCCCTTAATAAATTTGAATAAAGCAAGAACAACAGTGGTTTTTGCAGAATAAAATGGTGCCATCATTGTTGATTTCGTTGGCTTCTCATCAGCTCAGTTGCGCACAGCTCAAAGTCATTATTAAGTACATCTACAGAGACAGTTTTAACATTCATCCATAGAGAGTTCATTTTTAAACAAAAATCAATCAATCAATATATGCATACAGTAATTATATATATATATATGTCCAACCTTGAAAGAACGAAGTTGGAGCATGCAATCGACGAAACAACTTCTTATTGTCGTCGATATGTCGATGACACATTTTTAGTGTTCAATAATGAAAGTTATGCTTCCCACCTACTCAGATTATTCAACGACGCACATACCAATATTGAATTAACTATGGAACATGAAAATGATGGAAAGTTCCATTTCCTCGACATTGTCATGCAAAGCCTAGAAGATGATAGTCTCCAGAGGTTAATTTACCGAAAGGCAACATAGAGTGGACAATACTAAAATCTTAAGTAGTTTTTGTCCAAATAGCTATAAACGAGCGCTATTCAAGACTCTATAGTATAAAGCTAGGAGATTATGATCTATAGAAAAATTAGAGGAAGAATTTATGTTTCTCGAAAAGATGTTGAAAAGCAACGGTTACCCTCAAAGGTTCATTAACAAGTATGGAAGATCTGAAGTCACAAATGTAAAACAAATCACAGTGGAGAAAAAGCCAATCTACATTCAACTTGATTATAAAGGTGAAAACATTGCAGCAATGGTCAACAGAAGACTGAGTACGTCACTAGCCAGAGCCTATCCTGCAGTTAAGCTGGTTTCCGTCTATCGAACAACTTACTCTTTGGTGCAATCAAAAATCGATAGATGTCCTTCTCATGTGAACTCCAACCGTATATACAAATTAACATGTATCTGTGGGAGCAGTGACATCGGAAGAACACAAAAATGGGCAAATCTACGGTTTTCTGAACATGTACCAAAAAGCTTATGTCTAAAGGGAACAAATGCTTTAAACAGTGCCATCGCCAGGAATCTCCTTGACACCACCGGTCGTGAGGTGGACGTCACAAGATCATTCAAAATTATCAATCGACAAAAGAGTTCAATTCTCCTCAAGTTTGTCGAAGCAGCGATCTCCATAAAGCACCCGAAACCAGATTTTTGTGTTCAGAAAGAAGCAGTTATCACAAGTGTTTCCTTGCCCTGGTAACGGGGTATTTTCATCCTCTCTTTCATCTGATAACGTAATGTCTAATATTTCCATTGTGTATGACCACTATTGCTCGGAGTAGTGTTTAATATTACATATATTATTATTATTACTGTCTGCATATATTGATTGATTTTTGTTTAAAATGAACTCTGTGTAAGTATTTAAAAATTGTTTCTGTAGATATGCATAATAATGACTTTGGCCTGTAAGCAGCTGAGCTGATGAGAAGCGACCGAAATCATGAATGATGGTAGCATTTTATTCTGCAAAAACCACTGTTGTTCTTGCTTTATTCAAGTTACAGAATCACTGAAATGTTTAGGAATCCTGGACAGCTGTTTCGTCCTAATTTGTGATTTTCCATCAATACGAACCCACCAGGGTTCGAACCCAGAATCTACCTCATTTCGCTGCCTCTTATCATTGACCATAACCTTTAAATAGTTTGACCCATACTCATTAAAATTGTAATGCTTTATGCTATGTTGCCTTGTATGTGTGTGTGTGATCATAGTGTCCGAAATGTGTTGCTCAAATACACATCACACATCTCAGATACATTACGTATTTTGCAGATTCCGTAAAGGGAACTAATCGCCATTTTATACATATATCATGATAATAATAACAATAATAATGATAGTAACAATAATAATAATGAATTACCTGATGACAAAGTTCCGCAATCTGTTCTACAATAGCCGCTAAACGTCCCAAAGCAAGACCACTTTTATCCGGTTTCGTGACAACTGCACTGCCCAACTTAATGACAACTTTGTTAGCCTCGCACAGCTCAGATCTAGTACGAGCAAGTTTATCACACTTTACACTGGTGTGGAGCTCATTTCTTTGACTTGACAATAAATATCTACTTCGATGGAGTATTCTATATAATTGGCATAAAAAAAGAGAGAATAATAATGATAATAATTTGCTTTATTCCAAAACAGTACTTGTGATACAGAATGGAATTCTCAGCATTTTTTTACTACAGTATTGCATCCAGTTAGTACATTAACAATAAATAGAATTCTACATAGATTAAGGAACTCTTAGTTCATTATGGCAACAACGCATTGGCATGTCAGTAGTAAAGCCAAAGTTGAACAGTGTTTGAAGGTGTTAGAAAAGTAGGTGCTGTCACATTTACTGGCGTAAGAGAGAGAAAGAAACAAAGCAGCACATAACGGAAAAAAGGAGAAAAAGAGAGAGAGAGGATAGGAAAAGAAAGAAAGAAAATGTTGTACTTATAAATGATATGAGTTGGAAATACGAGGTCCAGTTGTACTACTGACTATTTAATAAGTTATAGGTGTCACGCCTAATGCTTTCTTTATCACACGGAACACCAGCTAAGTAGGGTACGGTTGAGTTTCTATACTTGCTGGTGCGAGCATATAGGTTTCTATATAGGCTTCTGGTCCTGCCTGATGAGAAACAAGAGGAGAGTTGTAAAAATGAAGAGGGTTGTGTGAGTTAGATAGAATGGATTTAGCCCATTTTTCACATGAGTCCATGTGCCTGCCTGTCGACCAGAATATTAACAAGCTGGTTAAGTGGCACGTTGCTTTCCCTGCTGACAACCTTTAACATCCTACATGATAAGGTATAGTCTTTCTTCAGTAGCCCTGGAAAAACTAAGGGGGAACAATAGAGAATAACAGGCAGAATGCGAGAGTTAATGAATTGTAGGAGTAAGGGTTGGGTTGGGTTATTCCAGAATGTCTTAACTTCTTGATGTAGGAGGTAAGACGGAATATTTTCTTAGAAATATCATTTAATAAATTTCCATTGAAGGCAATCAATAACTTACGATTTTAATATGTGATTAGCATTGAGCATTATTAGTATAAGTATTAGTATTATTGTCTAGTTTGTCGAGGGGTGACGCAAAATCGAATGGTCAGTATTCAAGCCTCTATGTATATATATATATATATATTCATGTACTGTTCAATAATATTTTCGAAAATAACCTTGAAAAACTGATCAACAGAATGTTACTTGTGATAGCGCATTTCTGATTGGTATTCTTGTTGTTGCTGTTGTTGTTCTAATGTATTGTATCACGCAATGATGTTCAGTATGTCCAGGATGACCTCTAACATTGGTTAATATAATTAATTAATTAATAATCTTTTCAATAATTCAACCATAATAGATTTTAGAAAAGTTGTCAATGATTTGATTTCATATATAGAACTTCCGTTTTTTCTCACAGTTTGAACCAGCGATGGAATAAACATGAGTGCAGAATAAAAACATGGATGCATTTTATTTAATTGGTTCTCGTCAGCTGCATACAATCTATAATATTTAACAAAACAAGTGACAGTACAATTTTAACATGCATTGATATCGGTTAGAGAACCATTGAAAACCAACACCAGAGTACTGGACAGTTAGCTGTTTCATCTGTCCTAGTTTGAGAATCATTCGCTGTACTCACCCACCTCAAAGGAGGGTTCGAACCCACAACCTTCCGGTTGCAAGGCATTCTCGTATAACATTCAGCCACTGGGACCTGACTCAGTGGCCAATCCATGAATTCTAACCTCTACCAATTCGTGATTTATAGCGAAACCACTAACCAATGTCATCGGCGAGAACTCCACTGTCACACTCAACTAGATGGACCACCCACTGGTCACCACTTCTCACTGGAACTCCAGGAAACTCCATTCTGTAGCCAGTCACCAGTGAGCATCAGATTAATTCTGATTAGATTTGTTTTGACGAGTCTCAGTCGCGTAAAGGAATACGAGCTTTTGCCTGCTTGTAACCGGAAGGTTCTCGGTTCGAAAACTCTGATGGTGGATGCTTACTGCCGATGATTCCCAAAAACTAGGGTGAAACAGTGGGGGTTTTCAATGGTGCTCTAACTGACTCCATTAATCAGTCGTACCCCATAGATGACAGAAAATGACTTTTCAATACTACCCTTATGGTTTGTTTGTACATGGTGGGCTAATATCGAACTGTTGATGGTTATTATCATTATCATTACTATTCCCATGGGTTCTGAGTGGGACAGAGGTCTTCAGTAGCAAATCTTAACTTCGTTCTGATCTTTGTAGTCCTCTTCAGCTAACCCAGTGATTGCTCAGAGTCTCTCTCCTCCTCCCCGCCACGTGATCTCTTTCGTGTCATCCTCTCACCTACACGCAAGTCGTCGTTTCTCATTCGGGTTCCACTCGAGCGATGGCCTGGCGCCTGATGTTGTTCGACAGTCTTCTCAATGTTGTGTCGAACCCATCTCCATTTCATTCAAGCAGCCACCTTACGTGTCACACTCTCCATCAGATGGTTAATCCAGTGTAACGTTTAGGATAAGATACCGCTTTTGGACACCTCTTTGTGTATTTATCAGTTTACTTGTTCGTATGGATCAAAGCAAATCGGCCGTACGTAGTGACAACTCCACAAACGTATTCTGGAACATTGTCCAGCTTGGTTAATTAGCTAGAGAAGAAAAAAAGAAGACTAGCAGCTCCATCCTCAAACACTCTGTTAACTCCGGACACCAAGCAACCCGTCCCAGCATAAATACTTCACAGTGCTACACAGAGTCCATCAATACCGTACAAAGGGACTTCGCATACGCCATCTGCACATAGCTGAAGCATAAGCTATTTGAGATCTGAAACCGAACCTCTGCATTCAAAAGCACTACATTCATTCACTCTCCCTACTGTGCCCAGCGTAACGTTCTTATTATAACTTTGTTTCTTTTTATTATATAAGTTTATTATTATTTTATTTTCAAGTATTGGTTTTGTAGGTATTTTCTTTGATTCGATGGGGGATTTCGTCATGAGCTGACATCACTCAGAGAATCACTCGAAAGCCTAGGAGTACTAGACAGCTGTTTCGTCCCAGTTTAGGATTATTCATTAGTATGCCCCTATTATTATTTGTGCGTCAATGGCACCGCGATTAGGACGCTCGCCGACCTTGCATATGGTCCTCCGTTTGATCCCCGGCCACCGACGCACTCCTCTACCTCGCCAAGCCAGAAATAAAAAGCTGGTATAGGGGAAAGGTTGGGCATGAGGCTAGCACCCCCATCCTTTAAAACTAAACAATGCTACCGAAACTTCAAGCCTGTAGCTTGAAGCCCTATGATCTACTGGGAACGTGAAGGAATAAAAATAATCATTATTATTCCCACCATCCATATTTTATTATCACTCTATTACTGTTTGAAGTTTTTGAAGTTTTTGTAGCAATTTGGTTAAGTTTTGGGGGTGGAGTTGCTAGCACCACGCCCCAACCCTCCCTCTTTATCCGGGCTTGGGACCGGCTAGAATACTAGTGACCTAGTAATCTAGGCGAAGTTTTTAATCTTTTTTTTATCCTTCACGTTCCCCAGTGGAACATAGGGCTTCAAGATAGTGGCTTGAAGTTTCTGTAGCAGCGTTTATTTTTACAGGATGGGGTTGCTAGCCTCATGCTCAACCTTTCCTCTTTACCAGCATTATTTCTGGCTTAGAGAGGTAAAGCAGTGCGTCCGTGACCGGGGATCGAACCTCGGACCATGTGCATGGTCGGCGAGTGTCCTAACCGCTATGCTATGTCAGATCGAGAATCGGGAAGGCGAGAAACACATTATCAACCTGAAACCAATCTGGAAATCTTCGTCACTCAGCCAGCATCAACAACAAAATTCGGATTTTCAATACAAACGTCAAGTCAGTCAGTTCTTCTATACGGATCAGAAAGTTGACAGGTAGTCACCAATAATATTTCCAACAGCCTGCTGCAGACCTTTATCAACAACTGTCTTCGCTCTATACTGAAGATTAGATGGCCGGAAAGAATCACCAACAAGAAGCTATGGGAAAAAACAAAACAGGAACCAATCGCCCAACAACAAATATGCAGGAGAAAGTGGAGATGGATTGGACACTCACTGAGGAGGCCGTTGGGTGACATTGCACGTCAGACCGTCGAGTGGAACCCGAAAGGGAATTGGCGAGTGGTTCGTCGGTGCAAGGGTGACATGGAGGAGATCATGTGAAGAGGAGTTGAAGCACTATAGACTAACATGGATGCAGGTGAAAAGTACTGCAGAAGACAGAAGCAAGTGGAGGCGTGCAGTTGAAGCCCTATGTTCCACTAGGAACCCAAGGGAGTAATAATAATAATACTATTACTATTTATTAATAACATTGCGTTTTCATACAGATTTTACATATAAACATTTAATCGTCTTTCCACTAGTTCCTGTCCATTCTACACGAGCTTATTGATTAGACATTATCTCACACCTATTGCGTCATTCCAAGTCCTGCCTCTTTTCATAATTCCAATCAGTCACCCTGTCTAGATTACACCTTACACATTATGTGATACTTTTTTGAGGATAGATTTTACCAGTATTTGATTGGTCTTATGATATCTTTGTTGCTTGATAATAATTACGATTGTACAGAAGCTCATGAAAATGAATCGTCGAAAAGAAAATTTTCTTCACTGTTTGCGTCTTCGTTTTCTTATGACTTCTATATATTTTCAAGAGTTTGGTTTGTAAGGATTAGACTTGTAAATACGAGTTTGACGACGGACTGATATCAGTTAGAGAACCATTGAAAACCAGCACGGAGTACTGGACAGCTGTTTCATCCTAGTTTGGCAATTATCGGTAGTACGCATCCATCCCAAAGGTGGTTCAAACCCAGGACATTCCGGTTACAAGTCCAGCTAGCTCATTGGTGGGAGCTCCATCCTCACCCTTGATTGGATGGACCTCACTGGTCACGAATTCTCACTAGAACTCCAGGAAATACCGTCATGTAGCAAGTCACTAGCGCGAATCAGATTAATTTTTAATAGTTTGTTTGTAGGGATTAGATTTTTTTTTGAGTTTAACTATGGACTGACATCAGTTAGAGAACCATTGAAACCCAGCAAGGAGTACTACACAGCTTGCCTTGTAACCGGAGTGTCCTGGATTCGAAACCCAGCGGGTGCGGACTGATGATGATTCCCAAACTAGGATAATATAGCTAACTGTCCAGTACTCCCTGTGGCTGGCTTTCAATGGTTCTCTAACTGATATCAATCCGTGGTCAAACTCGTATTCTGCATTAATGCTAAACAATGGCTTCCTAACTGGTTGGTTCCTAGAGTGTCTTGATGCTAATTCTTTCTGTCCGGCTGGTCATCTGATGTTCAGTATGGATCCAGTGAAGGCAGCTGTTGACTAGAGTCTACAGTAATCTGTTCGAAATGCATTTTCGTGATCCATATACAAGAAGATACTGACTGGCTGACTGACTTAACATTGGTGTTGAAAATTCGAATTTTCAATGTACTTTTATTTCAACAATGTACAGTCAGGTTTCTTTGATTCAAAGCATCTTGCATAATACATATCTGTGACTAATATGCTGTTTTTAAGATTAAGTTAACCGGTCAGTCAGGATATGTATGGCTATATATTAAACGCAATAAAAAAGGTCACCTTCATGATATAATATCATTACAATATGGGGTGATGTCCTGATTCATAAGGTAACTGATACAATATTCACAAGAGACAAGTGTGTTCACCCCGTCAAACAAATATCCGTGATGATTCTAAAAATGGGTTCTGTTAATAAAGTATATTTCTCTCAATAATTTTATAATTTTTTTTACGAGTTGATCATGGATTGATATCAGTTAGAGAACCATAAACTTGCTACAGGATGGAGTTTCCTGGTGTTCTAGTGAGAAGTCGTGACCAGTGAGGTTCATTCAGATGTCACGTGTGAGGATGGATGTCCCATCAACAACATTGGATGGTGTCACGCTAAATCACGAATTGATAGAAGTTAGAATTCATGGACTGGCCACTGAATTGGGTCCCAGTGGCTGAATGGTATACGAGCTTGCTTGTAACC